GCATGTCCCATATGGCCTAATGCAAGCACTACGCATGCCCTATAAGGGATTGTGCGAGCACCATCTATGCCACATTTGTGATGGTGCAAGTACGAAACTTGCCCCAGATGGGCTGGAGCGAGCACCGTACATGCCCCACATTTGCTGGTGCAAGCAATATGCATAGCCTGTAGGGATGGTGCAAGTGTTGACAGATGTTTGGGATATCTTGGCTCCAAACACACCTTTAATTCACACTAAGTGCTCCCCACGGGGTCACCTCCAAGGGTCCTTGGGTGCCTGGCAGAGCCAGCCCCTATCCAAGGGTCCGTGTTTGTAGAGGGAAAAACTTAAGTGCAAAAACAGTCGTGTGTACTAGAGCGTTCCCAAAATTCGTTGCGCGGCGTTGACGACGAAATGGGATCGTGTGCAGAAAAGCTCTTCACGTCAATACGATGATAGAGCAAGTTAACTCGCCAAAGTGATTCAGAAAATACTTCAGAAAATATTTCCACTATAAATGATTGAGAACAATCAAGCACAAGCACACGTTTTATATTTCGTCTAACATACAAGCAAAGGAAAAATAGCGAGGCAGTTGTTCAACTGCATTCTGGAATTTCGCCTTGCTGTCTTGGAAAACAGTTGCTCAACTCCTTGCGAATTTTGCTCGCACGTGCGAAATATCCCGTGCGAAACCTGTTATCGCACTTTCACGGAGAGAGGAAAGGCCACGCGTCATATGTCGGCCTGCAGGGCAGCGGACGCCAAGCGCCGTGCACAGGCGCTTGGGTTGACCCGCGACGTCACAGACGACTCGGACAGCGAACCTCCGCCACCACGGGATATCAGTGAAGAGGTGTGGGCCGCAGTTCCCACATGGGACTGGGAGTCGTTTTTCGGGATCGAATTGGTGCCAGGGAGAATCATGCGTCGCATCCCACAGCGCGCAAGACTGGGGGTGCTTGATGCACTAGCTTGTATCCTGAAGCGGCTCAAGTCAAAGGCAGCAGACGAGGCGGCATCCTTGGTGTTTTTGGCCTTCCCTCGTCTTTTCTTGGGGATTCCAACCGGGCAAGGCCAGGGGCAGAGGGCGGCAATTAGGGAGCGGTTGGAGAAGTTTTGGGCTGGGGAGTGGCAGCAGCTGTTTGAGTTGGCGGTGGCGGCGATGCAACCTGCGGCTCGCCCCTTGTCCTTCACCCCACCCGAGCATGATCCTGATGCCGTGCGCCTATCCCGCTGCCGTACAAGGTGCAAAGTGGGAGAATGGAGTCGGGGTTTGGCGTGCCTTACGGCTGGTAGCATCGCTCAGCCCTCTCAGCACATGGTGGACGCGCTACGAGCGAAACACCCATCGTGCGAGTCCGCCATTCCTGGGTGGGTGCAGGAGGAGACAGTCGAGCCTTCCCTTATCCCACAGCTTTCAGTGGAGGTACTCGGCCAGGCGATCCACTCAGCGGCTAGGGCGTCCGCACCAGGACCGTCGGGGTGGGTGACGGAGCACCTGCGCGACACTTTTCTCTCTGAGCCCGCGTATCTGTCCCACCTGCTAGAGGTCTTCACCCAGTGGACCAAGGGAGAGGTAGCGGAGCGCGTGCGACCCTGGCTCACTGCGTCCAACTTGGTGGGCCTGTCGAAGCCGAATGGTGACGTTCGCCCGGTGGCTATAGGCGAGGTGCTCCCCCGCATACTATCTCGGGCCATATGCATCGTGCTTCGCCCGAAGATGATGTCGCACTTTGCTCCGTGTAACCAGTTTGGAGTCGGGTCCAGGTCGGGAGTGGAAGTCCTCGCACATGCCTTTCGCTCCGCCATCTCTACTCACCCGTCGTGGTGTGCGCTGCAAATTGACGTGGCGAACGCTTTCAACTCCTTCCATCGGCGGGAAATGTTTGAGGGTCTTCGACAGTCGCCTTTCAAGGGATTGATTCCATTTCTGCGTGTCTTCTACGGCACTCCTAGCGACCTCTATCTCCGAGCGGGCCCTTTTGTCGAAGCTTTGGCTTCCGAGCGGGGCTCGAGGCAAGGGGATCCATTGGGTCCGTTTCTGTTCGCGTTCACACAGCAGCTGGTTATGGAACCAACCAAAACGGAGTACGCCGACTTACTCTTCCTCAGCTATGCTGACGATACGTATATCCTGGGGCCTAGGGAACGGGTTCTAGCAGCCTATGAGGCCTTGCGGGAACGACTGGACGGGCTGGGTTTGGAGGTGCAGCCGCATAAGTGTAAGCTATGGGAGCGAGGGAGGGACCAGGATGGGGAGGAGAGAAATGAGACTGTCCCGCCCGGCATGCAGCAGACATGGACGGGGCTCACTGTGGTAGGGGTGCCCATTGGGGAGGAGGACTGGGAGGTGGCTAGCCTGCGTCGCCGGCTGACGGAGCTGCATGCACCTGTCCCCTGGCTTCCTCTGCTTGACCACCCACAGATTGCGTCCCATTTGTTGGCGATCGCAGTGTCGGCGCGCCCGATCTACCTCACACGGACGATGCCTCCACGACCTGAGGTTGTGGAGGCTTTTCGGGACTGGGACACGAAGCTGGAAGATTGTTTCGAGGAGCTGTTTCCAGATAGTACCTGGGATCACGATTCGGGGAAGTCCCAGATGGCTCGTTTACAGCTGCACCTTCCTGCCAGACTCGGGGGGTTCGGCATTCGATCTGCGGCTGACCTTAGTCCTCTGTCGTATGCATGTGGCTGGTGCCAAGCAGTGAGCGATGTGGCTCGGTTGGGGGTGGCAGGTGAGGAGCGGATGTTTGAGGAGTTTTTCCGCACGCCCGAGGCTACGACCTTGTTGGACCCCTGGTTTGCGAGAGCAGTGGATCTGCTTCCACAGTCGGTTCGGCAGGAGATGCCACCCCTTGCCTTGTGCACCGCTGATCCGCCTATGCTGCTCTTCCCCACACAACACCGTCGCCTGGCGGTTGAGAGCCTCCAATCTCTTCGAGGCATGGCCCACAACGATGCCACCCTGGCCCGTTTGACATCCCTTCAGGGCCCGGGGGCTGGGGCGTGGGTTTCTGCCGTTCCTTCGCACGAGGAGGCTACCTTCACCGCAGCCGAGTGGAGCATCTGCGCGTCCATGCGCCTAGGCCTCCCTATTCAGCAGCTGATAGTGGCCGGCAAGTGCGCGTGTGGGTTTGAGTTTGCTGATCCCTCTGACCCGCATCATGCCCTTCGCTGCAAGTATCAGTATGCACCTTCTCGGGTTCACGATGCGGTTAAATTTGTGGTGGCGAAGATAGCTAAGGGTGCGGGTGGGATTGTGACCATGGAAGACGACACGTTGCTCCCAGGGAAGAGGGTTGATGTGGCGGTTCGGAAACTGAGGGAGGGGGAGGAGCACGCGCTGGAGGTTAGTGTGGTAGATCCTATCTCGCTATCCGCGCAGCACCATGGACAGATTGGTCGCAAGGTGGGTTTTGCCGCGAGAGAGAGAGAAAAGCGGAAGACGGCGGACTACAAATCGCTTCTACAGCGGCATGGGGGAGTGCAGTTCACACCACTCATTGCTGAGACATGGGGATGCTTGGGGGGGAGTTTTGGACGGTGGCTTAAGAAGCAGGGTGACGCGCAGATCGAGATAGCAAAGACGAAAGGGGCGGCGCGAGCTACGGGAAAGGGTTTCTCGGCTTATTTGCTCGGATCGCTCAAAGCGGCTGTGGGTGTGGCTTTGCAACGGGCTCAGGCGCGTGTGATCTTGTTACGCGCTGCGTCGATGATGAGAGGCCCAGAGGCTGTTTGGGTGGAGCGGGAGGATGTTGAGGAGGAGATGGGATGGGATGCTCCGTGGGCGGATGCACCATACTTGGTAGACATGCGGGTTTAGGGAGTGGGTTTAGGGGGGGAGGTTTGGTTCGATGGGAGTGCAGTTGGGGTGCTTTGATGGGAGGGCTTGATGGTGTTTTAAATGTGTGTGCTATTGGGGTTTTCTTGGGGTTGTGTGTGCTACTTTTTCTTCCTTCTTCCCTGTTTTTCTTCCTCCAAAAAAAAAAAAAAAAAATGAAAACACCTGTCTTCAAATTCCACATATGACAATTACCTTGCTGACTCAAATGGGTGCACTCATTGATTCCCAACTAGCTCCAATTTCGCACTCATTAATTCATGCGATCTTACAGTTGTAAAACGGTTTTTACCGTTGAGAAAACGTGATAACCGTTTTGTACCTGCGTCGAAATCATTCCGCAAAGCGGTGTGACTTTCGTGCGCAATTTCTTGTTCCGTGAGTCAACTCCGAAAACAGTTTTTTCAACTATAACTTCCGAGCACCACTCGAAACAGACGCGCACCCCTTATATGCGCAATCATGCACGACCAGACAAACTGGTCGTGCTGTACAGCGCAAAAACGTGCGCTGTACTGCGCGTGGGCAGGGCGATCATTCGCCCTGTCCTGTTGCGATCGTGGGCCCTGCCACGCTCGCAACAGTGCGCGAGCACACGCTCGGGCCCTGAGGGCCCACGCGCGAAATCTGAACCGCACGCTCGGTCAAGATTTCGCGCTCTTGACCTAATCGAGAAAATCAACAGCACCCCCGTTGACCAGTCAATATATCGACCCCCACAGAAACACCCCACGGTACACCACTCGCTCACATATGCCACGCATGAAACATAAGAAATAAATGGGACTTTCATGGGAAGCTCATTTCAGCCTCATTAGAGCTTCATTTGAGCTTTCATGAGAGCTTCATTTGAGCGCGTCATGGGAGCCTCATTTGAGCGCGTCATGGGAGCCTCATTTGAGCGCTTCATGAGAACAGTGAAAACGCAAATGAAAATGCACTAACACAAAATGCAATTACGGATGAAAACGAAACACACAAAATGCAAAAACAAATGCGCACGGAAAACACACAAAATGCGCACACACAAAATGCAAAATGAAATGCACATCTTCCACGCCACAAATTACCTTCAACCAAACACCCCATTTTTTCTTCACTGTCGTCGAATAGGCGGTAGGTTGACGTGCAAAATAAAATATTTACACCCAACAATATTTGCACCTGACGACTATTCGAATCCACCCACGACATTACTTGACTTGACAACTCCCTTCACTACTTCCGTCCTTGGCATAGGAGCATTCAGGTCTTTGCCAAGTTCCTTTCCCTTCTGAACTAATACCTCGTGTTTGCCTTTCACCAGCGCCACAGCATAGCTGATCCCAACTCCAGTTTTAGGGAATGCACTCATCTGCTCCCCCGCAATCTCAGCTTCCTTCAAGATCGGCTTCACCTTGGGTTCACAAAACACCTTTGCCCCATCAGCTTCATACCGTCCCACATTCAGCACCAATGATTTCTCCTTCTCAGCAGCACCGTTTAGCTGCACCATGCCCTTGGGTTTCTGCTGCTCACGGGTATCACTCTTGGGGACATCCTTCTCCTTGTGTGCAGCGGCAGCCTCAACTATGCTACCCTTGACATCTGCACTGCTTTTCTCATCAGCACCGAGCACATCTCTCTTCTCAGCTGCTGCAAGTCGAGCGTTGACCTGCTTCAACTGGTGCACTAGCATCTCCACTGTAGTTTTCAGCTCCTTAATAGTTTCAGCATCCACGGTAGCACACTTTCCCTTGCAGCTACACATCTCATTCTGCTTCTCAGGTACCACCTCCTTCCATGGCACCACAGGTACATGCCATAGCTCATAAAGCATGTCTTTGTCTTCATGCAGGTCCCACAACACACGGTCACCAAGCTTCCCCGTGAACGTCTCGGCTCCATTTGTTGCCGTGCAAACACCAGCAATTCCCATCTGCCTCAGCGAAATGAGATTCCCTTTTAGCTCCGGCACCAAAAGCACTTCTTGGAGGACGATCGGCTTCCGATCAGCTCCCTTGAAGGCTGCCTTTCCGACCCCCATCACTTTCATTTTGTGTCCGCACCCTGAATTCATTTCACTGATGCCTGTTCTTCCAATCTCATTGAGCAGGTCCGCCCTTGGGGTCATGTGATATGCTGCTCCAGAATCTAGGATCCACGTGTTGAGAGGACGTGGCTCTGCTCCCTTCTTTGCAGATGCCTTCTCGCTCCCCCCATTCCCTTGCACATGGAAAAACTGTCCAGGAGCACGCTCATACTCCTTTCCCCCTTCCATTGCGGTCTCTGCTACATAACCAGCACCATTCTCCTTTCCATCATCATCCTCACATCCGGGAGTCCACCACTTGGGCCGCTTCCAACATTTCGCCCACGTGTGTCCCGGCTTCTTGCAATACCAGCAGCTGCCCTTGAACCCACGGTAGCCACCGCGATCATCTTCATCTTCGTCATCACTCTTGCTCCTCAGCTTCTTCTCTTCGTCATGCATGCTCCTATATCGTCCGCTTCCGCCTTGTCCACGGCTGTCTTCTTTACGCCAACGGCTACCTTGGACTCCGTAGCCACCATCACCATCTTGATCATGACTCAGCTGCCTCCTCCTGAACTCCTCCTCTAGTATCTTAGTTCGAACCCACTCAAGGGTCCATTGACTCTGGTTTTGAGGAAGACTTAAACCGCTCGTGAAGACCATCCACGACTCCGGCAGCAATGACAACATCTTCAAACACTTCGTCTGCTCCGGATAGGTGATGCCTCCAATCTGCAGCTTGGCGTACAGCTCCCTCATTTTGTCGAGCACTGGTTGAATCGGCTCCCCTTCACTCAGCCGCAATGACGCCAACTCACGCTCCAGCATGAGCGTTGCGACCACCGACGTTGGCGCGTGTAGTTCCTTTAGCACCTTCCAAGCTTGAGGCCCGCAATCATCCTTTTCGAGAAGATGCATCACGAGCGACCTTTGATTCAGCTCCAGGCTCTGAGATAGGAGATAGTAGCCCGCGGTCGAACGTTCGTCCCACTCCTCTTGTAGGGCGGGTTCGCTTGGCCTCTTCTCCACACCCGTCATTATCTTCAATAACCCGACTTGCCGAAAGTAGAGCTGCATTTTCCACGCCCAATCTGTCGAGAAAGTTAGGCAAAACGAGAAACAGGAAAGAGGGGTTTGGACTAGCAGCAGTTGAGATACAAATAGCAAACCCTAGATTGGGCTGTACTCGCTATAGAGTACCCCACTGCAGGCTAGACAAATACAACATTCTGACACAATCGTCGTAGCCACTGCCGTTGAACTTGTCGACAACGAAGTTCTTGAGCACATCCTTCAACAGTGGGCCCCGGCTGGTCCGCACTCCTCTTGGCGCTGAACCACCGTCATCTTGGACTCCACTGTTTGCTCGTGCCAGAGACCCTTCGTTTCCGTTCGACTCCATGCTATTCTAACTGCAGTCCTTAAAGCCACAGCTCTGATACCACTTGTTGACAGATGTTTGGGATATCTTGGCTCCAAACACACCTTTAATTCACACTAAGTTCTCCCCACGGGGTCACTTCCAAGGGCCCTTGGGTGCTTGGCACAGCCAGCCCCTATCCAAGGATCTGTGTTTGTAGAGGGAAAAACTTAAGTGCAAAAACAGTCGTGTGTACTAGAGCGTTCCCAAAATTCGTTGCGCGGCGTCGACAACGAAATGGGATCGTGTGCAGAAAAGCTCTTCACGTCAATACGATGATAGAGCAAGTTAACTCGCCAAAGTGATTCAAAAAATACTTCAGAAAATATTTCTACTAGAAATGATTAAGAACAATCAAGCACAAGCACACGTTTTATATTTCGTCTAACATACAAGCAAAGGAAAAATAGCGAGGCAGTTGTTCAACTGCATTCAGGAATTTCGCCTTGCTGTCTTGGAAAACGGTTGCTCAACTCCTTGCGAATTTTGCTTGATTGTCCTCATGAAAATACATGTCTTCAAATTCCACATATGACAATTACCTTGCTGACTCAAATGGGTGCACTCATTGATTCCCAATCTAGCTCCAATTTGGCACTCATTAATTCATGCGATCTTACAGTTGTAAAACGCTTTTTACCGTTGAAAAAACGGGATAACCGTTTTGTACCTGCGTCGAAATCATTCCGCAAAGCGGTGTGACTTTCGTGCGCAATTTCTTGTTCCGTGAGTCAACTCCGAAAACAGTCTTTCAACAATAGTTTCCGAGCACCCTTCGGAATCCCGCAGCACCACTCGAAACAGACGCGCATCCCTTACGTGCGCAATCATGCACGACCAGACAAACTGGTCGTGCTGTACAGCGCCAAAACGTGCGCTGTACTGCGCGTGGGCAGGGCGATCATTCGCCCTGTCCTGTTGCGATCGTGGGCCCTGCCGAGCTCGCAACAGTGCGCGAGCACACGCTCGGGCCCTGAGGGCCCACGCGCGAAATCTGAACCGCACGCTCGGTCAAGATTTCGCGCTCTTGACCAAATCGAGAAAATCAACAGCACCCCCGTTGACCAGTCAATATATCGACCCCCACAGAAACACCCCACGGTACACCACTCGCTCACATATGCCACGCATGAAACATAAGAAATAAATGGGACTTTCATGGGAAGCTCATTTCAGCCTCATTAGAGCTTCATTTGAGCTTTCATGAGAGCTTCATTTGAGCGCGTCATGGGAGCCTCATTTGAGCGCTTCATGAGAGCCTCATTTAAACGCTTCATGAGAACAGTGAAAACGCAAATGAAAATGCACTAACACAAAATGCAATTACGGATGAAAACGAAACACACAAAATGCAAAAACAAATGCGCACGGAAAACACACAAAATGCGCACACACAAAATGCACAATGAAATGCACATCTTCCACGCCACAAATTACCTTCAACCAAACACCCCATTTTTTCTTTACTGTTGTCGAAGGAAATAGCCTCGCCCTCGCTTGAGCGTAGCTGATCTCGCCGCAAACGGGAAGTTCGCGACGGAGCGGTCGACGAAATGGGCTTCTGCAGTTCGGCGGAAGTTGCAGTCGAGCAGGTTCTGCTCGACGGAATCTGGTCGACGAGCTCTGCGCGATGAGCTCTGGTCGACGATCTCTGCGCGGTGAGCTTCCGTCGAAGAGCGCTGGTCGAAGAACTCTGGTCGAAGAGTTCTGGTCGAGAAGCTATGCGCGGCGAACGCTGTTCGACCGTGCAGAGTCGAGCTGATCGACCGAAAGCTGCAGAGTTGCGCGAAACTCTGCGAAGGCGTGCGAACATTCGCCCAGGAGATTTTGGCGAAAATCTACCTGCGGAACGGCATCACGTGGTCGACGGCGCGCACCTGGCGAAACCGACGACACGTTTTCTACCTGGCACCTGCGCAATGTGCCTGACGGTGAAACCACCAACCTGCACCTACTTGGTAGGTGCGCACATCTGCGCAGATAGACAACCTGCGACCGTAGAAAGTTACCTGCGATTGCAGATAGTCACCTGCGACTGCAGTGCTGGCAGATCGCGCGCAGTGCAACGCTGGCAGGTCACTCTGCTGCAGCGTTGGCGAGCCGCTCTTCTGCTGCGCTGGCAGAGTTCGCCCTTGCTAGGAGTTCCATGCCATTCTAGTCCTTTTGTTTCTGTATGCCTCATTGTTGCTCTCTATTCTTTTCTTTTCCTATCAACTTTGTTAATGCACGTTGTTCTTTCCTTAGTGGAATTCTTGCCAAACTTCTCAGTGAACATAGCAAGCAGTAAGAACGTTAGCATAGCGCTACGATCACTCGCACAACCCCGTGCCCTCCTCCGTAGTCCACTCCCGTTGTGTAGCGACTCTCCGCATGGTGCGGTGAGCGTGGATCGAACACGCGACCTTCAGATAGAACCTTCAGATAGCCGACTGTGCGTTCATTACCTAAGTTGTAGTAGGCCGGCAACTATCTAGCCCGCCATGGTCGACCAAGAGGAGGTCGCTGCAGGCGTAGAGGATACCCTGCAGGCGCGGTTAGAAGACGTTCGGGCACGCCACGCAGCTGGCGAGTACGGCGGAGCAACCTTGGAGGTTATGCTCTTTGGAACCCGCGTGCAGTGGGCGCGCGAGCACCCAACGATCCGTACTGAGGCGGATGGACTGCCCGCCACTCCCCGACCGGCACGCAACGACGGTGGCGTCGACGATCAGGTCGACGGTGGTAACCAAGTCGGCAGCGACGGAGGCACGAGGATGACACGTGGAGTGATTTGGGCAGCCGATGGCGGCATCGGCGGAGTGCTGGCACGCGCTCAGCGTTCGGCAGCGGCAGGAAGCTCGAACGGCAACAGTGACGGTCGACGACGTTCTCCTGAGCGGAGTGGAGTCGGGCCGACTTCGGCGATCCATGCGTCAACTGGTCGAGACGGAGGAATCGCGCCGTCGTATGGCTACTTCAAATTCTCGCCGGACAAAATCGTTGTGCCGAAGCCGCTCGAAGGTCGGCACGACCTGATCACGTGGACGGAGTCTATCGAACCGCAGCTGGAGATCGCCGGATTGAAGAGGTTCGTCGACGGAGACGTGTTGGCGCCGGACGAGGAGGAGGTCGAGCTCTGGTCGGAATTTCGCGCAGCTCAACTTCTGACGTTTATGGTCATTTCGAGGTGCTGCTCGCCGCTGGTGCAAGTCGCATTGAAGTCGTGCAGATTTCGGGTGGATGCTGGCTACCAAGCGTGGCAGTACATCATGCGCACCTACAAATCGACCGACGACCTATACATCGGCCAGCTGGAGCAGAAGTTGACGAACATCAA